TTTTTTTTTTTTTTTCCTTCCCCTCTCCCATGGGTTTCTGTTAAGTTTCTCAGGATCCACATAAGAGTGAAAACATACGGTATCTGGCTGACCTTTGAATTTTATACTAACCTGCAGTTCCCACCCCCATCCCTACTCCCCATCCAGAATTTCTTTTTGAGCAGAGGCCAGCTCACTTCAGAAACCATCAGAATCTTCATAGTAGAGGGATGTTTCCTCTTTTTAAGATGGCGTTATAGTACAGTATGGCTCTTGGTGTGAGAGAGGCACTTTATCTTCAGGAGGCAGGGTCATTTCTAGTAAGGGAGAACAGGCACATGTCAAGAACAGCACCTACAAACATATGCTATGCTCAGAAGATGGGAAGTGACTGGATAATTGGTTTGTCCATAATTCACATTTGGCAGTTATCAAGATTTTGCCATATTTACCTGAGGGTGCTTTGTTTTGTTGCTGAAGTATTAAAAGTAAACCGCAGACATCATGCCAGTTTATTCCTATGTACTTACTGTATATCTTTCTGAATTATGGACTTTTTTTTCTTAGATGGCCAGAGTGGTGTTATCACACTTTATAAAATAAACAGTAATTCCCTTTCATCTAATAAATTTATCTAATCGATTATCCTGATTGGATCAAAAATCACATTTTTAGGGGCACTGGGTTGGTTAAGTGTCCAGCCTCAGCTTAGGTCATGATCTCCTGGTTTGTAAGACGAGCCCACATCGGGCTCTCTGCCTCTACCCCCACCCCTACCCCCAAACAAATAGACATTTTTTTTTTAAATTTTTTTTTCAACATTTTTTATTTATTTTTGGGACAGAGAGAGACAGAGCATGAACGGGGGAGGGGCAGAGAGAGAGGGAGACACAGAATCGGAAACAGGCTCCAGGCTCTGAGCCATCAGCCCAGAGCCCGACGCGGGGCTCGAACTCACGGACCGCGAGATCATGACCTGGCTGAAGTCGGACGCTTAACCGACTGCGCCACCCAGGCGCCCCAACAAATAGACATTTTTAAAAAAATATTTTTTATAATTGATGTGTTTTGAATATGGATCAAAATATCTATACATTATTTTGTTTATTTAAAAAAAGTTTTTTTAATGTTTATTTTTGAGAGGAACAGAGTATGAGTGGGGGAGGGGCAGAGAGACAGACAGACAGACACAGAAACTGAAGTAGGCTCCAGGCTCTGAGCTGTCAGCACAGAGCCCGACACGGGGCTTGAACCCACGAACAGTGAGATCGTGACCCGAGCCAAAGTCGGACGCTTAACCGACTGAGCCACCCAGATGCCCCTGATTTATAAATTATTACATTTATTACATGTTTTTGTAGTTCCTTTTCTCTTTGTTTTCCTGTTACTGCTTTGTGGCAGGAACCAGTTGTTATGTAGGAATGTCCCGTATTCTAGATTTGTGTCTCTACTCCTTGTGATGGCATTGAGTACTTCAGTTCAGGTTTAACTTTTTTGTAGGAGAGAGGTAAGAATATTTAAGATGATTATCAGTGCTTTATATTAGATCATTCAGGAGGTCCACAATATTGGTCTTATTCTGAGTATTGGTAAAATTAAGGGCTCAGGTGGTGATAGCCCAATCCTATCTTTTTATCTATCTTTTAACAAATTATCACCGGTCTTAGCTGCCTAAAACAATAAACGTAAATTATCTCAGGAGGGTCAGAAATTCAGGAGCGGTTTAACTGGGTAGTTCTGCGTCAGAGTCTCTTAAGAAATTGCAGCCAAGATGTTGGTTAGAACTGTAGTATATGAAGGGTTAAATGAGGCTGGACAATCTACTTCCAGATTCAGAGTTGTTGACAGGATAGTGCTGGTCATAACGTGGCAGCTGGCTTCTCCCAAAATGAGTATTCAGAGAGAAATTGATCTAAGTGGAAGCTGCAGTGTGTTTTACAACCTAATCTTGGAAGTGACATAACTTCTGCAGTATGCTGTAGATTACACAAAGCCAACCTGGAACAGTAGAAGGGGACTACACAGGGGTGTGAATACCAGGAGGCAGGATCGCAGGGCCCATCTTGGTGAGCCTGTTTCATTTTACTACAATGTGTATAAAATAGTCTTTAAATATTTGTTGTCTAACTTTTCCTTACTATCTGTTTCATTAAGAATTGTGTAAGTGCCAGTTTTCTGAGTGAGAAACTGTTGGTGTCTTTGCTACTTCCAAAATACTGTCTTCCAGAGTTACTGAGTCATGTCAGTGGTTTGATACATAGATAGACCAATCTGATTGGACTTGTTTTCATTTGTCAGGGATAGCTTTTTGATTATTTTAATTTTATGCATATGCAAAATATTTGTAAGATTGCAAAGTGGAATGACATAAAGAGATCATTTGGAGAAGTCTTGCTTCCAGCCCAGTCTCTTCCACTTGTACTTTCTCTAATCACTTCTGTTCTAGTAGGTGCATCATTTTTTTTTTTTTATCATCAGCAGATGATCGTTTAAAATTATTTTCTGTTTGTCCTCACAGTGTTTATTTTTGTGAATATTCATTTTCTATAAATATATATTTTTAAAATCATTTTATTTAAATATAATACACATGCCATAAAATCCATCCCATTGAAGTATACAGTTTAGTGGTTTTCAGCGTATCAGAGTTGTCCAGTCATTGCTACAGCACATTTTAGAACATTTTTGGGGTACCTGGCTGGCTCGGTTGGTAGAGCACTGACTCTTGATCTTGGAATTGTGAGTTTGAGCCTTACTTACATTGGTTGTAGAGATTACTTTTAAAAAGAAAAAAAAAAGACCATTTTTATCACTCCAGTAAGAAATCCTGTACCTTTTAGCAGTTACCCTTACCCCTCCCCATGCATATACACTCTCATACCCTAGGCATAATATGCTTGCTTTCTCTATAGATTTGCCTATTCTGGATATTTCGTATGAGGGAAAACATGTTGTATGTAGGCTTTTCTGCCTTGTTTCTTCTACTTAGTGAAATGTTTTCAAAATTCATCCATGTTGGAGCATTTATCAGTACTTCATTCCTTTTTATGGATAAATACTATTCCATTGTGTGGATATACCACATCTTATTTATCCGTTCATCAATTGATTCCTCTTTGGGTTGCTGCCACTCTTGAGTCTTATGGGTAATGCTGCCGTGAACATTTGTATGCAAGTTTTTGTGTAGACTTATGTTTTTATTTCTCCTGGAGTGAAATTACTGTGTTGGAGTGTATGCATCATTTTATATTTCTATCAGTAGTGTACAAGGATCCCAGTTTCTCCACATTCTTGCCAATACTTGCTATTGTCTTTTTGGTTATATCTATCTCAGTGGTTATAAAGTATCTCATCATGGTTTTAATTTGCATTTCCCTAATGACTGATGGTATTGAGCATCTTTCTGTGTGCCTATCAGCTGTTTGCATATCGCTGTAGAAAAATGTCTATTCAGATTCCTGACCTAATTTTTAACTCGGTTATTTGTCTTTTAATTATTGAATTGTAGATGTTCTTTATACTCTCTGTATACAAACCCTTTATCAGATAAAGTATTTACAAATACTTCCATTTGATGAGAGTTTTAAAAATTGCTTCATGGTGTCCTTTGTAGCACAAAAGTTTCGTTTTATTTTTTACTTTTTAAATGTGTATTTATTGTTTAGAGAGAGAGAGAGAGAGACATTGAATGAGTGAATGAGCGGGGGAGAGGCAGAAAGAGGTGGGGACAGAGGATCCGAAGCTGGCTCTGTGCTGACAGCAGTGAACCGATGCGGGGCTCAAACTCACCAACTGTGAGATCATGACCTGAACTGAAGTCGGACTCTCAGCCAACTGAGACAGAGCCACCTGGGCACCCCTGGTATTTTTTTTAAGTTTATTTTATTTTGAGAGAGACACACAAAGAGCATACATGTGTGAGCATGTGAGTGGGAAGGGGCAGAGAAAGGAAAAAGAGAATCCCAAGCACCAGAAGCACCCTGTAAGCACAGAAGTTTTTAATTTTGATGCAAATTCATTTGTGTTTTTATTGTTGTGGCTTATGCTTTTGGTGTTATATCTAAGGAAAAACCATTGTCTGAACCAAAGTCACAAAGATTTACTGTGACTTTTAAAGAGTTTTATAGTTTGGCTGCAACATTTATTAGATTGATAATCCATTCTGAGTTAATTTTTTTAAAGTTTTATTCGTTTAAGTGATCTCTAACTCCAACATGGGGCTCAAACTCCTGACCCCGAGATCAAGAGTCACTTGCTCTTCCTACCAAGCCAACCGAGTGCCCCATTCTGAGTTAATTTTTGTGCATGGTATGAGGATAGGGATCCAAATTCATTCTTTTGCATGTGGTTTTCCACATACCCCAGCACCATTTGTTGAAAAGACTATGTCCTCATTAAATTGTCATGACGGGGCACCTGGGTGGCTCAGTTGGTTTAAGTGTCCAACTCTTGATTTTACTCAGGTCATGATCTCATGGTTCGTGAGTTTGAGTGCCACGTTGGGCTCCGTGCTTACAGCACAGAGCCTGCTTGGGTTTCTCTCTGCCCCTCTCCCACTCATGCACGCTCATGCTTGCGTGTTCTCTCTCTCTCTCTCTCTCTCTCTCTCTCTGTCTCTGTCTCTGTCTCTAATAAACTTTAAAAATAATAAAATAAATTGTTATGGCATCTTTGTGTTAACAGTTTTCTTCCATCATGTAAAAAAGGAAGCATACTATATGTACTGTTCTGCACTTGTGGGGTTTTTTGTTTTAAGATCTATTCCATAGAAATTACTGTATATTTGTGTATCAGGCTTTTCTCATTCTTTTTTTTTTTTCATTTTGTATTGGTTGGTTGTCCTATTAGTATGGATAGATACAGGTCCTTTTTCTGATGTGTGTATTTCAAACCTTTTTTTTTTTTTTGTAATCTGTGGATTATTTTCTTAAATGTCTTTGGAAGAACAGAAGTTTTAAATTTTGCAGACCATTATTTCAGTTTTTCTTGTATGCTTATGCTTTGGTTTCCTGAATTTGCATACTCCAAGGTTGCAAAGATTTTCTCATGTTTTTTTTTTCCTTAAAAGTCTTCTAATTTTCTCCTGAGATTTACCTTTGAATTTTTGGGTTCATAGTTTTTAATATTTTCCCCACTCATGTAGTGAAGGAAATTATACACATTTTCTTTCAGAATGTATACAGATTCCTTTTCTTAACATTTAAATCTCTCATCTATTTGGAAGTCATCATGTATACTGTATAAGAGGAATCTAGTTAATCTTATTCCAAATGGCTATTCAGATTTTTTAAATTAGTTGTTTTCTATAATTTGCATACAATAAAATGTATTCCTTTGAAGTGTACATTTTGATGAATTTGTATTTACTCGTACCCATGTGTTATTGCCTCATCAACCAAGGTATAATGATTGTGCTTTGTGTCTGTTCTTTATCAAACTCTACTCACCTACCCCTGGCTTCAGGCAACCATTGACCTGCTTTCTCTTACTATGGATTAGATTTGACTTTTCTAGAATTTTTTTTTTATAAATGGAATTATAGTATATAGTTTTTTGCATCTGGTTTAAACAGCATAATAATTTGAAAATATTTCATGTTGTCACCTGTATCAGTTCTTTTTTATTGCTGAGTAGCATTCCATTTTGATGATTAAACTATAATTTACTTGTTACAGGTTTGATAAATATTTTGGTTATTTCCAGTTTTGGGCTATTACGAATAAACATGCTGTAAGAGCATTTGTGTACTGGTGTTTGTATAAGTATTTGCTTTCATTTCTTAAACACCTAGAATGGGGATTTTTGGGTTGTATGGTAAGTACAATTTTAAATTAATAAGAAACTGATCAGTTGTTTTCCAAAGTGATTGTATCATTTTACATTCCAACTGATCAGTTGTGTGAGAGTTACAAATATTTTACATTCTTGCCAACACTTGGTATTATCTCTTTTTAATTCTGGCCAGTCTAGTGGGTGTGTTGTGGTGTCTCATTGTGATTGTAGAGTGTGTTTCCCTAATGATTACTGATCATGGGCAATTTTTTCATGCATTAATTGACTGTCAGTTTTTGCAAAAGTGTCTGTTCAAATTTTTTCCCTTTGTTCACATTGGGTTTCTTTTCCTACTAATAATTGTATTTTATCAGAAATGGGTGTTACAAATATTTTCTCCCAGTCTGTGGCTTGCTTTTAGCCAGGTTTTCATTTGAAGAGCTGGTGTTAAATTTGATGAAGTCCCATTTATCAAGTTCTTCTCTTATCACTCATACTTTTTTGTGTCATTACTAAGAACTCTTTGCCTGCCCTAGATTGTGAATATTTTTATATTTTCTTCTAGAAGTTTAATATGTTTTATCTTTTCCAAAATTAGGTATATGATCAATCTGAAATTAATTTTTGTGTAGGGCTTGAGGTTATGTTGAAGTTCATTTTTTCCCCATAGGTGTATATGCATATATTCAGTTTTCTCAGCACTAGCCTCTGTTTTACTTATTATCTCTGCATTTT